TTTTTTCTTATTTGAAGCTGAATACAACGCGGAATTTAATAGTTTATTGCATTTCAAAAGATTCTGGAGTTGTTAATACGAGCAAACAGTTCTGTGCGATTTCAACAATGAAAAAAAAGTGTGTGTTAGAACACAATGAGGCGCGTGTCTGACCGGCGGAACACAACATGTAAGATATGTTTATTTGAAGAAAACAGCTTGTGAATGGTAATAAATCGAAGTTTCGGAGGTACTGTGAGCAATCGTACTGAAGGCTTTAAACATGAAAAAAAAAGATTTAGACTTGCAAATGATTCAACCTGTTATCTTAGATCAAGTCTAAACTGTGCTTTGATAAAGTTTGTGAAAAGCTGAGAAGCTGGAATTTTGTATTTCTCAGGGATTCGATCGAAATTTGCTTCTGGCGTTCCAAAGGGCTTAGCCGTTATTTCGTATCCTAAAAATCGTTTTCGCCAAATGCATTGTAACGAGCATATCTCGGGAGTACCTTGAAAGAAATGGATAATTAGGATAACTCAGTCCCTCGGTTTCACTGGCGTGTAAGTGTTGTAAGTAAAATGCCTCGCGGATATACGTTTCCGCGACAGACTGTTGCGGGCTCGTACTGAAGTACACGTGATAAAATCATGTAGAATTGATTTTGTCCTAAAACAACCATCGCTAAATCACCCTACGAAAATAGCTTGGGTTCTTGCGTTAGAATATGAACATAAAAATCAGGCAAAAAATTTCTAAAATCTTATCGCAGGTGATTCAACGCGCATTATGCTTTAAACTAGGTCTAAAAAATTGCTAACTTTCAGCTGAAAATCTGCTAATTATCCTGAGTTTGGACATTATTTTGCTGCTGTGAACACAGCGGACCGGGAAGTTTAAATTCCAACCATTCTGGTTAATTGCAAAACCAAAATTCCAAACTTCTTACTTATACTATCTTAAATTAATTTTGAGTGAGTTTCGAGGTTATAAATAAACATTCAGCAGAAGTTCAAAAAATGAAGTCAGAATATCTAATCTGCAGCGACTTGAAGTTTCAAAATTTTGCATTTGGCGCTCGATCTCAAGTTATAAAGGCTTAGTTTCAGATGTAAGGTCAGAGGTCAGAGTGCAGAAATA